AGTACAAACTGTACTTACAGTCAGGTTTCACCAGTAGAATTTAAAATAAGTGTGGTAGTTACAAGACAAAATAAATACAGTCCAGCTATAATTCAGCTGAATCTTCCCTAAACTTTAGAAGTTCAGATGTGAGAAAGTCTCCTGTGAACAAGGGCTTTATTCAGCCTCTTAGTGGAAACAAGGCATGAACGGGAGTCTAGACTTCATAGAACACTGCTTCAGGTCAAAACCTGTTGTAAAAATACTGCATTGTACAACTGAAATAAATGAAAGTACAGCATCTCTAACTCCACAAGCAGACTAGATCTAACCAACCTACATTTTGTGATTACCTATAACCAATCTGGTCCAGTGCTAAGATCACCTTCACCCATGGAAGTGCAAAGCTTGCTCTTTGGACCACATCTCTCTTATGTCTATTCCTACAGATTTCTTTCCGATTTAACTTTGTGTAAAAGCCTCAACCTATATACAGCATGCTAGAAAAAAAGAAGAAAAAAAGAAAAAGCTTTGGAAGTCTATTAATACATTCCCTTTAGCAATCTCTGCATATATTTCACACCTAGATTTGAAGCAGTCTTTTCAGTCTGTTCTAGCACAACACAGTCTACCAGAGCTCTGGATATGAGCTCCAAAGTACTCCTTAAAACGTAGAGAGGCCTTATCCTGCAGCCCCACTATCTTACTGATACCACTTCATGTTCTGAACAACGCTTCCCTGATTTCTAGCAAATGTATTTGCAGTTGGATTAGACCTTGCAGCAAATGCCATGGATAACTTTCCATTGTGGATTTGGATTTCTGATGGTAGTTGCTTTCTTTCAGTCCACACGTCATCAGTTGTGTGGTTTGCACACAGCCCCACTAGAGCCCATTTCCACATGCTGGCTGAATACCCTTAGTCAGGCCCTCACTGCTGACACACTGCACTCCCTCTGTTATGCTGGTACAGGAGTGTGAGGGTTATCTGGAAAAAGGGCTTAAGATGGAGCTGAAAACGCTTACCATACTTTGATGAAAAACTGCATGTATTCCAAAAGTATGCAGAAACACATCTGTGTTTGCATAACTGAGAGGGTGGTGTGGAAGTTTTATCTGCTGCACATAGACACGAGTTTCAGACGATGAGCATTTCATACAATGAGCTTTGCTGAGACTGTGTGTGCTGGCTCCTCTGGAGAGATTATGCCCTTGTTCTCAGCCTGCTTGCCAACTGGCTGCTCCCCCTGTCTGGGCTTCTGATAGCCACGTAAACAGTGCTACAGAACACTGCACTTGTTTCATGCAGTGCACAATCTCTGTTTTCTGCAGATAAATCTGACATGATGTAGCAATAACAAGACACTTGTTCATCCAGCTCCGATGATGAGTTTCAGCGGCCCCACTGCAAATAACTTCTGACAAATCCACAAGAATGCCAAGCGAGGAGGAAATAAATGAAGGTTCTAATATACTGTCCCCACCAAAAAAAAAAATTAACAAGCAGTAAGGAAACATTCCTTAGCTCCTTGCTCAACCAGCAAGCTACATATTCTCAACCACTGTTCAACAAGTCTATCCCACAACTATCATAAGGTATCACTCACACTACTCTGAGGTTCTCCTTTCTCCCCCTACATTCACTACAAAACTGTTAGCCAACCAAGACTTCTAAATTACATCACAGAAACATTTTTCCTCTGCTTGGCATCTCTTAGAACAACCCCCAGGATGACTGGATCCTACTTTCACAGAACTGAAACTGCTCTTTTCTGAGAGGAGTCAATTACCAACTTCTTCCTCCTGACTCTGCTTCCCTCTTCAGCTGCTGACTGTAAAATTCTCCTTATTTACCTGGAACTTTCACACAGATTGGTAACACACTGCCATACCTACTTGCTCCTAACAGCTTTTTTTTTTCCTGTAATTGACAGCACGTGTCTTCCCACTGAAAAATATGCTCATATGTAACGTTATATCTGGTATCCAAAATTCCTTACTCTCTACTTTCCCCATCTTCCCTCCCCTTTCAGACAACCTCCAAAGTGCACCCTTTGTCAATAAGAGTTCCACAGTTCTTCCCTTTCGTCAGTGCAGATCAGGGTAGGTGTGTCCAATTGAGGAAGAAGGCCTGCCATCACAAGCTTTTCACTTGAATGCAATTAGGGATTTGCCTACTGGAATCTGTATCTGCTTGGGGTCAGCTTCTACTAGCTGCAATGAGATCCTCATGAGATGCAGTTTTAACAGCACTTGGGCAGAAATACTTAGTCCTTATTTCATTTCACAAGCAATGCTTTAATAAAAGTCCTTTGCAAAATGGTTATTAAAACGACTCTCAAAGATTCTGATTGTCCTTTGCTAACAGTCTTCATCCTCCCAACAGCTCTGCGTTCTGTCTCATGACACTCCTACTCCCTTGTTACTTTACTATTCCCTTTTAAGATTTCATGATTATAGCCCACTTCACACCCTCTCTACCACACTGACAAATGCTGATGTGACCTCTGGCACGTATCACCATCGTAGTTATATCCACAGCATCAAACCTACAAGATCTACAACACGATCTGTCTCTGACTTGTGGGTCACCTTTGGCCACCCAATTTCTTTATGCTTCTGCCTTCCCAGCCATAAAACAACTGCGTTCTTTGATATTTATGGATGAAAACCACAGAACAGAGTGTACTACTTAGAAGAAGTTTTCAAGAGTGCTGCAACCTCACTGAATGACTGAATCCATGCCAAGATTAATTATATCTGATAGACCTATCAATTAAATATTTGCAAAGGGTCCTGCTGGTCGATGGCTATCAACTGCTGATCTAACACACTTTATTCTTGTACCTGCTTGCTCAATTATTCCTTGATGAAGAGGAACAGATCTGAAGCACCCATGCATCTCCAACCTCAGATAAACGGTCCTGTTTTAATTCTTCACCATGGTAGTCCAAGCGATGCTAAACGGATCTAACATTCCTGTGGCAGGTTATCTTTCTTTTCAGGAAAAGAAATATAGCTCAACTCTTCCTTTCCAAATGCCTTTTCAAATACCCCTGGCAGCATTCAGTTGGGTGCTGGGAGTTCTGACCAAAAGAGCTGAAGCTCTGCCTGAGAATGTTTCCCACCCACACATTGCAAGTGTTCAGGAGCCAATCTTATTTATGAAGTTTAGTTTGATTTCCAGTCCTTTGTGCCAAAATCCCAATGAGATGTGATTTATACACAAGAGTGGTTGCAGAATTTTGGTATTATCTGCTACAGACCAGTACACTCATTTCAACTATTTTGGGGTCAACAGACAAGCTATGACATAAAAACTGGTAGCACAGAAGTTTGGATACAACAGAGGGCATCAAGAGATGCAGATACACATTCAAATGACAACAAAAAGTATCAGAGATCTCTTGAATAGAAGACATTGAAACAGAGCTGAAAATTGCATTAACTGTATTGTTACAACTGAACAAGAACGCACTGGAATCAGACAGCTTGCTTTGGATGCTTCATCAGGCATGCTGCTCTGCAATAAGCCAAACTAAGAACCCAGACAAACAATAAACATCTGGTAGACAACACCCTTTGGACTGATCTAGAATCAAATATGAATCAGTTCTGGTGCTTGGGTCTCTTTTGCATAGAAAGCAAGCAATTCCGTGTTTTCTCATGATATATCAGGAAAGACTTTGGAGACAGAACTGATTCACTGCATTCATTCATGCTGAACTATAGCAAGTGTAAAATTTACTTGCCAGCCTCATTCACTACCACTGCTCAGCTGAAATAGTTGAGACTAATATTGCATTAACTCTTCCTCCAAGTAAGAGCGTGCCCGTGTGCCCCCTCACCGTGACTCTGACAGGGGACCAATGCCAGCCTCGAAGGAGCAAGGGCCCTATGGAGTACTATTCTACTGTTTACATCAGTTGTCCCATACGTACTCGGGACCTATTTTCTGTACTGATTCCTCCACTCAATTTCCGTTTTTGT